CTAGGACATAGTAGAGACGTAGTGGCCAGTAGAAAGTGTGTCTGATGCCACCGTAGCTCTTCAGGAGAGCGAAGATCACTGGTGTTAGCAGCAGGACTAGCAAATATTAATTTTCCACTTTACAGGGGCCAGTTTTTCCAATTTTTAAATGCATCCTGTAGAAGTAAATGATGGAGCTTGCCATATGCGTAGCTCTGCCTGTCAGCATTGCAGTGAGAACATGAGAACATCACTAATTTCCCTGCAGCACAGGTCAGATTGCAGTGAAAACACCACTAATGTGCCAACCAGCACAGTTCTGACTTGTGCTGGCAGCGGACCTTAGTGGTGTTTTCACTGCAATCTGACCTGTGCTGTTAGGGACACTAGTGGTTGTTTTCACTGCAATTCAACCTGTGATGGCAGGGACATTAGTGGTGTTTTCCCTGCAAACTGGTCAGATTACAATTACATCACCACTAATGTCTTTTTCAGCACAGGCTAGAATGCAATGAGAACATCGCTAACGTTGCTATCAGCACAGGTCAGACTGCAGAGAAACCACCACTAATGTCCTTGCCAGCACAGGACAGAACTGTGCTGATTGGGGTGGTACTTTCACTGCAATCTGACCTATGCTGGCAGGGACATTGGTGGTGTTTTCACTACAATCTGACCTGTGCTGGTAGGGACATTAAAGTCATTTTCCCTGCAAACTGGTCAGTTTACAATTAAATCACCATTGATGTCCTTGCCAGCAAAGGTTAGAATGCAATGAGAACATCACTAATGTTACTACCAGCACAGGTCAGACTGTAGAGAAAACACCACTAATGTCTTTGCCAGCATAGGACAGAACTCTACTGGTTGGGGTGGTGTTTTTACTGCAATCTGACCTGTGCTGGTATGGACATTAAAGGAATTTTCCCTGCAAACTGGTCAGATTGCAATAAAATTACCACTAATGTCCCTGTCAACACAGGTTAGAATCCATTGAGAACATCACTAATGTTACTGCCAGCACAGGCCAGACTGCAGAGAAAACACTAATGTTCACTAATGTCCTTTCAGCCACTGTTAGGATTGCAGTGAAAACACCACTAATGTCCCTACCAGCACAGGTCACATAGCAGTGAAAACTCCATTAATGTACCTGCCGGCACAGGTCAGATTGCAATGAAATCACCACTAATATCCCTGCCAGCACAGATCACATTGCACAGAAAATACCACTAATTCCCCTATCAGCACAGGTCACATTGCAGTGAAATCACCACTAATGTCCCTGCTAGCACAGATTAGATTGCACTGAAAATACCACTAATTTCCCTGCCAGCACAGGTCAAATTGCAGCAAGAACACCATTAATGTACCTGCCAGCACAGGTTAGAATGAATTGAGAACATCACTAATGTTACTGCCAGCACATGTCAGACTACAGTAAAAACACCACTAATGTCCCTATCAGTGCAGGTCACATTGCAGTGAAAACACCATTTATGTACCTTTCAGCACATGTTAGATTGAAGTGAAAACATTACTAATGTCCCTGCCAGCACAGATCTGATTGCACTGAAAATACCACTAATGTCCCTGCCAGCACAGGTCAGATTGCAGTGAAAACACCACTAATGTCTCTGCCAGCACAGACCAAAGCCCATTAAAACAGCAATAAATTATAACTAAAAGGCAAAGCTTTTTTTTTTCAGTCTTGGATATAGTGCAGAGAGATTTGACACTTATCAGGCTTTTATCACTGTCTGTGCACCCGCTAAGGAGATTCGCTCTCTCTATTTGTCGTGTTTACCATTATTATTGAAAGTAAAAGAAAATTTTGGGTTGTCCCCAGAAAAGTAATAGAGGGGAAATCTTCCAATGGGCACACCAGTCCTGGTGACCTGGGGGTCTTCAAGGAATTCCTTTAAATAGCAGGGATTTCCTCTCACTTCCTGTTTCCTGTATGGGACAGGAAGTGAAGGGAAATCTTGATAATGGGACGCAGATGGCGAAACAAACTTGACAGGGATTATAACCCTCCCTTCTCTCTATCCAAATTTAAAAAAAAAATTCCTATAGTTCTACTTTAATGTTCCAGAAAGCACAAGCCAGATTGCAGTAAGAACACCACAAGATCAGGCATTAGTGATTCTCAGAACAGTATGCACAGTCTATGCGGATAAAGTGCAGCACTGTAAGTACATAGGAGACAACACCTTCACACAACAGTAAAATCAGCCTGTATATGCAGTAAAGCATGCTTGTTATACTCACTGTGGAACCTAAGGGGTTAATTATTATTATACAGTATTTATATAGCGCCAAAAGGTTTGCTCAGCGCTGTACATTATAGTGGGGGACAGAACATGAGACAATACAGTAACAAAACAATACACGAGGGGTTCGAGGGCCCTGCTCTTTCGAGCTTACAATCTAGGAGGGAGGGTTAATCCTCTCCATTGTGTAATAAGGTTGTTTGTTCCTGATTGCTCTGTTCCTCCCCTTGTTTAAGCGACCACCTCTTATCTCCTGATAAGACAGATAGAACTGTAGGCATTTTGTACATGCTCAGTTTGGTGTGTATTGCTAGAGAGGTTTTTTTTTTCTTGGGAGAGTGCATGAGGTCAGCATAGGGCCAATAAGCACTGGTCAGACAGAGGTCAGGGGTTCTGCATCCTCCTAGAGCAGAAAGAAAACTTCTCCTACAAGCTTCAGCTAGTGCTTGGCTGAACACTGAGAGAAGTCACAAGACTGCTCTAACTTCTGATGACAAAAGGTATTTAGCAGTTTATATTTACTAACATAATTGCATTTCCATGTTGTGTGTACTGTGGGAGACCAGATATAGTGAATGCAGGGTCCTGGGTTTAGTAACATTTTAAGCATCAGCATGTCTCCCCACAGTTCAGCATCCACAGCATGACCGCATGAGTCACGCTATATCAAGCTGTGCTCTGTAATTTAATTACAATGGCTGATCTGGCATATGCTAAATTCTTTCAAAATACGAACTCCATGTACTTTGATCCTCTAGACCTTCCTCTCTAGGCACCATGAAGCCCTTTGCTGTCAGCTAGTTAGATTAATTAGTATCTTAGGAGCGTTTGCTGCTTTGGATATTTTTTATTTAACAGCCAACTTTATTTTGAGTATTTCAAAGATAAATCATATATGGTTATTTATTAAAATTGGAGAGTGCAAAATCTGGTGCAGATCTGCATAGAAACCAATGAGTGTCCAGGGTTTATTGCCAAGGGTCACTTGAACAAGCTGAAGTTTGAAGCCGATTGGTTACTATGCACAGCTTCACCAGATTCTGAGTGCACCAGTTTTAGTAAATCCCCCCCCGGTACTGTATTAGGGGGAAAAAAATCATCCTTCTTTCTATCCAGAATGTGCACCTACGCAGGATAAAAAAAAAGTTCAAAATACAAAAAATAAAGCAACTCACAAGGAGCCTATTGGGGAAGGGAAGTTTGACTTGGGTGGGGGCCAAGGCAATAGGGAGTTGATGTCATCTTATGAAAAAGTGGAGTTTTAGCTAGGTGAGTGGAGTTAGAGGCTAGGGAGCTTAGGATAGGTGGGTTTTATATGGTGGTTGGGATTGAGTGGGTAAAGGTGGAAACCATTTTCCCTTCATAGAGCAACTAAATCTGTTTCCCCACCTTCTCCTTAGAATGGATTTCATTTTGTTTTTCTAGATGCCACAAGTGTGAAATTGGGAAGAAGAGACATCAATTCAGTTAGCCTGGGGTAACATATGGTTGTACAATCAATTTGTTGAGTCTTTAAAGTGATATTAAAGGCATTTTTTTTCAAGTAAAAAACATGTTATACTTACCTGTTCTCTGCAGTGGTTTTGCACAGAGCAGCCCCAATCCTCCTCTTCTTAGGTCCCCCACCAGAGCTCCTCCTCCCGCCTAGTGCCCCCATAGTAAACAACTTGCTGTGGATGTACCTGAGCAGGCTCGCTCCTGAGCTGCTACTCTATGTGTCCAATCACACATGGAGAATAGCTTGGTTCTGCCCCCCATTCTCTCCTCATCAGCTCATTAACTGTGATTGACAGCTGCGGGAGCCAATGGCTTCCGCTGCTGTCTCAGTCAATGAGGAGGGAGAGTCCCTGTAGATCTAAGGCTCTCATGCACATTGCTGGATCACAATGGGGCTCAGGTAGGTATTGGGGGGGCTGAGGGCAGGCTGCTGCACACAGAAGTTTTTTTGTCTTCATGCAAAGAATGCATAGAGGTTAAAAAAAACCTTGAACCTTTGCAACCATTTTAATTCATATTCTACATTGGCAGGCTCCTGACAATGCCAAATTTTTCATCACAACAAAGATTTGGAAAATAATGGAGTAGGTGTTAGTAGCGTATGGTTTTGGTAGGTTACTCACAGCCATTGGTTATGATTGGTTTACTCACCAGCTAAGTGTTAATCAATGGGAAAAATGACAAGTGAAGTTTACTGGGTTGCAGGGATTTACTAAGGTAGAAGTTGGCTATGGTATTGTCCACAACCTGGGTAAATTTTACACCATGTTATAATCTCTCTTTTTCTTTTTCCAGGTTAGGGTTTCCTGATTTCTTTCACACTATTTGTGTATTTTATTTCCTTACTAAAATGTAAATTTTAGGTTTCATTTAAGTGTTAGAAGGAAGCCACCACACACAGGAGGGACTACTGGTATCCATGTTGATTGCAAAGGATATCCACAAGCTTGACACTGATAGCCCCCTTCTAATTTATAATACATGAAACCCTCAATAGAAAAAAAATGTTATATTAATTAATGTATGAAACCATTATTGTGCAAAACTTCCCCGAAGCACAACTAAATGCACAAAGGGAAGCACAGGAGTACGTGGAATGCATGCACACACGCACCCATGTACACTAATAGGTGTGCGCATGCATGAAGTGTGCTCACATACCCTGTCCATACCTGCACGCACTTGTGTGCTAATGTAATAATGTGTAACCAGGGGCGGACTGACCATTTGGAAACTCGGGCATTGCCCAAGGGTCCGGGGTCAGTAGGGGGCCCCATGAAGATGCCCCTGGTACCTTTTTCATAGGCTTTTTTGAGTTTGGGCAAGGACACAGGGGTCCCATGATCCCCTATTGCCCGGGGGCCCCATGAGTTGTCAGTCCGCCCCTGTGTGTAACTAATCTCTCGCATAATATTGAATGAATATTGAGGATGTGCATAACTGAAAATAAGAAAAATTGGTAGTTTATTATATATTAATGAGAAACTATGAACCTGGTATTGTATACATTTGTACATTTTAAAAAAAAGTTTCTGCACTGGCATATCCCTTCCAATTTACAGAATGTGGCCTTCTTTTTCATATCCCTTAGCCACATTCTGCAATATTGAAAGGGATGTATAATAAGGTGTGATGTAGTATAGATGTGTGAACATTCAGGGAGAAGGAGGGAGTACTGGGATGACCTGAACAATCTTCCACTGCTTCTTCGCTATCCATTCAAAGGCTGGATGGCAGGGAGGTTGCATACATGTTTAAAAAAATCATTTTAGGCCTGAAGATTACACAAAAACCCCAAACATTATATATTTTCTGAAAACAGATACCCTAGAGCAGTGGTGGGCAACCTTTTTTTCAACTGAGCCAAATCTCGCCAAAACCACGATTGAAATTTATTTTGAGAGCACATTTTTAAAACTGAAAATACATCCCCCATATAGTAATTCATCCCCCATAGTAATTCATCCCCCATATAGTAATTCATCCCCCATAGTAATTCATCCCCCATATAGTAATTCATCCCCCATAGTAATTCATCCCCCATATAGTAATTCATCCCCCATAGTAATTCATCCCCCATATAGTAATTCATCCCCCATATAGTAATTCATCCCCCATAGTAATTCATCCCCCATAGTAATTCATCCCCCATATAGTAATTCATCCCCCATAGTAATTCATCCCCCATATAGTAATTCATCCCCCATAGTAATTCATCCCCCATATAGTAATTCATCCCCCATAGTAATTCATCCCCCATATAGTAATTCATCCCCCATATAGTAATTCATCCCCCATAGTAATTCATCCCCCATATAGTAATTCATCCCCCATAGTAATTCATCCCCCATATAGTAATTCATCCCCCATAGTAATTCATCCCCCATATAGTAATTCATCCCCCATAGTAATTCATCCCCCATATAGTAATTCATCCCCCATAGTAATTCATCCCCCATATAGTAATTCATCCCCCATATAGTAATTCATCCCCCATAGTAATTCATCCCCCATAGTAATTCATCCCCCATATAGTAATTCATCCCCCATAGTAATTCATCCCCCATATAGTAATTCATCCCCCATAGTAATTCATCCCCCATATAGTAATTCATCCCCCATAGTAATTCATCCCCCATATAGTAATTCATCCCCCATATAGTAATCCATCCCCCATAGTAATTCATCCCCCATATAGTAATTCATCCCCCATAGTAATTCATCCCCCATATAGTAATTCATCCCCCATAGTAATTCATCCCCCATATAGTAATTCATCCCCCCTATAGTAATTCATCCCCCCTATAGTAATTCATCCCCCATAGTAATTCATCCCCCATATAGTAATTCATCCCCCATATAGTAATTCATCCCCCATAGTAATTCATCCCCCATATAGTAATTCATCCCCCCTATAGTAATTCATCCCCCCTATAGTAATTCATTCCCCATATTGTGTCAATTCACTTACCTTTGCTCCGCGCGTTCCTCTCGCCATGTTCCCGCGCCGTTCCGGTCTTTAGGGCGGACTGTGAGAGGAGAGGAGTTCGTCACGCTGCCCCACCTACATCCTGACAGCCAATGTTTGCCACGCTCCGCGGGCCGGATTAAAAGGTCTGCCGGGCCGTAGTTTGCCCATTGCTGGGCTAGCTGCAGAGTCCTGACTTTTGGGGCGTAAAGAGCCGCGGCTTGCCGACCACTGAGCTACGGCAACCCTATTGCCTGTCACCTGGTGGGCAGTGTACTCCGGAGCCGCAGCAAAGGTGAAAAAGAGCCGCATGCGGCTCTGGAGCCGCGGGTTGCCGACACCCGCCCTAGAGAATAAAACTGGTAGTTCCAATTTTTTGTGTCACACAATATTACCGCAAAAGTCTATGAAAAACAACATTTCAGTAATAAAAACACACTAAAGCGAATTTAAGAGCAAACAAACACAATACAGTGACAACAATGCAGCACAACAATAAATAATAGTGCTATAGTCTTAAACATACATGTATAAATAGTGGTGATCAATCTACTGTGCTCATGAGGGTCAGTATATACTACTTATGATATCTTCCAATGCATACATATAAACTCCCATAGAGACTGCACATAGCCAGTGCTATAAATATACTATAGATAGTGAAATACAAAATAAATAATCCTTAATAGTGATCTGTCCCTTTAAATCCTTAATCACATCATGTGGACCTGTGTGGTATACTTCCTGTATACCGTGATATAAATACACCAACAAAAAGTGTCAACTGAATACAGTCTCTATAGTGGTGGACCGTCCCTTTAAATCCGCTGTACTGTAAGTGAACCAGTGTAATCACACTGCTGTATAAACGTGTACGGTGCTCCTGTGTCACCCCTACGTGCTCTTTCACCTCCAACACACTATTGCGCTCACCTCCAAGTTTGACCCATAATCACAGGTCAATCTGCGCTTTTCCCTTTAACCCGGGAGGGTATAATGGTACACAGATACTCACAACTGTTTGCCAGCACTTTTAGGCAGATCCAGATCGCTCCATATCCATGTAAAAAAATGCTCAATATAGTGTAGTATTTCTGCTAAAATCAGCCTTTATTAAAACAATATAAGTTCAACTCACATTAAAATGTGTCCTCCTGGGACACTACAGGGTTAAAAATTCACTATACAGTGTTTTCTGTCAAATGTATGTGGAAATCCCTCTTTTAAAATGGCAGCACGTAAACTTCCAGTTAACGGCTTGACATCATTGGCGTACCCTACGCGTTACGTCATCAGGAGTAAATAGATACTCAACATGTCAAACCTTAAATTTGCATGCGCTTGTGAAGTGGTGACAAATTTCAGTACCCTATATTTTCTATTGGCAATAATTCAAAAGCCCCAACAGGTCAGTTTAGTGTTAAGGAGGAGGTCTGGTGCAAGAACTATTGCTCTCACTCCAATGTGTGCAGCAATATATGTAACATGTGTATCTCAACCAAAGTTTTTATGCATAGGTGCCCCCGACGCACGTGTTTACGTCCATACTACATGTATGTTGGTGTGAAGAGCCTCCATTTTATTTTTTTTTTTTTTTTGGGGGGGGGGGGCAATGTTATGTGCTTGGGTGTAACTTTTTACAAAAAGAAATGGTTAACTTTTTCTTCTTTTTTTTTTAAGTCCCCTATGTTATGATTTTTAGGTGACAGGTTCTCTTTAATAACTCTCCATGTCTCCTTTGTGCTCCACTGAATGTATTGCAGTGCAGATTCAGCCTGGGAAAATGACAGCGGTGACCTGGAAGTGACATCATACATGTCAGTTTCTGGATTACACCCTCCAGCACCCACCATGTTGGCCCCAGGCCTGCAGATGGGCAAGCAGAGCCCAGGATATTGGTGGGAGTGTGTGTGGGGGGCACATTACCAGGAGCTGTGGAAGCAATTGGGCGGCACCAAAGCCACCCAACTGCTTCCTCCGGGCAGGCAGGAGTCTGCTTGTCAGTTTTAGACACAATCCCAGTGGCTGCAGCCACCAGATTGTGTGTAAAACCCCCTCTGTCATGTCTGTACAACGTATGGACCTGGCAGCGAAAGGATTAAAGAATATGTCAACCCAACATTTCATGTTCCTGATATGTGCCTGATCAGCTTCTAACCTCAGCTCGTTCAGTTAAGCTTTAGCAATAAAACCTGGAAGCTGATTGATTTCCATGCAGAAGTGCACAAGATTCTGAATGAACCAGCTTTATTAAATAAACCCCAATGTGTGAAGTTTAGAATCACAGCAAGACAGCACTGGATTCATTGGAAGGTGAGTAGGTTAAAGAATATATAAACCCAACATTTCCTGATATGTGCTGTACCATGTACGTGTATGAAAACGTGTCCTGTTCTCTTTGTATTGGTTCCTTTGTGTGAAATCCCTGCTGTTCCTGCTAGTCCCCCTGCTATTAAAAACCTGACCACACTAGGCAGGAAAGCACAGACTGGTCAGTTTTCTGGCAGTGCTGGGAACTCAGGATATTCTCCTCCAATGATTAGACTTGTGATGACACCCCCCTACTCTGCACAGCCATTCACTGGGTTGACCAGTGTGCTGCTGTGTCTCTTCCCTAAGCTCATTATGCAGCTGAGAACAGAAGGTATGTGATCACTTATAAAAAAAAAAAGGGGAAAAAGCTATTTACTGTATAATGTTTTTTTAGATCTATGAATAAATGTTTCATCTTTCATTTCTATTGTAAACTGAATAGGCTGTTTTACAAGGTGAGGGTTTACATATACTTTAAAGTGTGAGTAAACCTATGCATAAAAATGACATCTGGGAGCTTTATGCCATAATGTACTGGTATACCTTTTATATTTGCACATTATGGCAGACATATGTGCCAAGCGATCCCCGGCAGCACTGATATCTGCGTTCTTGGCTTTTATCTTCTCCCAATCTTCTCTCCGGGTTTGGACTCTGCAGCTGCTTGACTGGCCAGGTGGCGATGACATCACTCCTGTGCACACGCAGAGGAGTTACATCATCACGGCATAGACTGAACTGGATTCACTGGAAAGGTGAGTAGGTTAAAGAATATGTAAACCCAACATTTCCTGATATGTGCCTGCTGTACCATGTACTTGTAAGAAAAAGGCTCCTGTTCTCTTTGTATTGCTTCCTTTGTGTGAAATTCCTGGTGTTCCTGCTAGTCCCCCTGCTTTCCTACTAAAGACCTGACCACACTAGGCAGGAAAGCACATACTGGTCGGCTTTCTGGCTTTGCAGGGAACTCAGGATGTTCTCCTCCAATGATTAGACTTGTGATGACACCCCCCTACTCTGTACAGCCATTCACTGGGTAGACCAGTGTGCTGCTGTGTCTCTTCCCTAAGCTCATTATGCAGCTGAGAACAGAATGCTGACAGGCAGGGAGAAGTAGTTATGACAGAAGAGACCAATAGGGTCTCTGCTGCCATAAAAATCCTACCCTTCAGCATTTTTGTTTTATTCCACTTTAATTGTATTGCATAACTGCTGAAAATTCAGGTCACCAACCTGGCTGTGCTATCTGGCGGGGCTGTGTAAATCTTTTGTAAACTCCCAATGGTCAATGCAGCTGCTTGCCTGGAGTTCATATTTAACCCCTTAACGCCACGCCTCCTGTCCCTTTAAGAGGTTTCTGATGCTGGGAAGCAGGGGGGAGTTTGTGATCATGTGACCGACATGATTGGCTGTCACATGATTGGAAAGCTCCCGATCGCAAGTAGTGATTGTGAGCTTTCCATTGGGTGCCGATAACTATTCCCGGGGCACTGACCTTAGGTTCACATCTGTGCGGGTGGTGCCTCTGCGGATCCACACGGAAATCCGTGCAGCTGCACCACCCGCACAGAGGATTGCGGACCCGCGGGCGGGCACCATTAGTTCTAATGACACACTGCCCACACTGGAAAATGCAACCGTACTGGGAACTGAGGTTCTTGTGCGGGTTGCGTTTTCAGAAGAAGTGCAGGGACTTCTTCCCTGCGTGTCATGGGCACGGGAGTCCATTCAAATGTATGGGCTCTCTTGCCCATGCAAAACACGGACCACACAGCCGCATATATGTGAACCGGGGGTCAGGGCGTGCCCTCACACAGGTTTATTTACATTTGGGTACACAAATATGTGGCTTTTCAGTGTCAAGACCCACCTGCCGAGAGGCCATGTATTTGTGTACTCTTGGCATAAAGTGGTTCATTTATCTATACCTCAACTATACTCAACTGTCATTGGTCAACTGTCATTCTGCAGCAGAAGAAAATGCAGAGAAGCAAGGAATGTCAGGTGTATTAAATAAACTGAAGTATGCCTCTAGCTCAAGGGCCTCCTCATTAAAAGCATCTGAAAGAATTCACTGTGTTACTGATAGCAATCGTTTGTCACTTTTATGTTTCCACAGTAGATTCAAGAAAGAATGGTAGATTTTCTGTTGGATAGAGCACAGACATGATTGTAAACCCTCACCTTGTAAAACAACCCATTCAGTTTATGATAGAAATGAAAAGTAAAATATTTGTGTATGTAGACATAAAAAAAACATTATAAATAACTTTTTCTGAAGTGATCACATTCCCTCTGTTCTCATCTGCATAAGAGCTGGGAGAGGGGAAACAGCATACACCGATCTTCCCAGTGAAAGGCTTTGCAAGATATAGGTGGGTGTCAGGACAAGTCTGATCCTTGGAGGAGAGCAGGATGAGTTCTCAGCACAACAAGAAAACTGACCACTCTGTGCTCTCCTGGCTAGTGTGGTCAGTTACTAATAGGAAAGCAGAGGGACTGGCAGGAACACCAGGGATTTCACACAAAGGAAGCAATAAAAAGAGAACAGGATACTTTTTCGTACAAGTACATGGTACAGCAAGCATATATCAGGAATATGAAATGTTGGTTTTTCATATTCTTTAATGGCTCTTCATTTTTAGGGATTGTCTGTCTTGTGGAACAAAGTCCCTCTGTCCCTCATTCCTCCTCAAATGTCCTTATTTTTGGTCTAATGTAAAGACCTCCAAAAAATGTTACATTACCCTACACCTTTTATTCAACAGCTAAATTAAAGCATTTATTATTCTGAAAAAATAACAAATGCGTAAACAATCAATAAAGTACTACTTTCTTTTAGATCCGTTTTGTAAAGCAGAATCTCTTTTGGCCCTTCCTCTCCAATGGGTTACAGGAGTGCACTTCGTTCCGCACTCCTGGGACCCGTTTTCAGCTGACAGTGGGCTAAAGCCAGTGCAGTGCGGCAGGGAACAGATGCAGCATCGGATCAATTCTGCATCCACCTAGGTGAGTATAATTTATTTTTTTTAATTTTGCAAA